TTGCTATCAGTAGCTGTGTGGTGATAGCCATCTTGGGGAATGTAGGATCGATGTGTTAAAATACTGTCATAAAATTCCTTGTCTTCTGGTTAGTCAATGCTGGAGAAAGTGGCTGGGGCAAGAGCTTAAAAAAAACAAACCCCAAGCCAAAACCAAACCATCAAACCACAAACCCCTAAAAAAAAAAAACCAACAAAACCTCCACGAAACAAACAGCAAGAACAAACAGACAAAAATCCTCACAGTTTGTGAGGCTTAGTGTTCCAGATAGCTATAACTGGTGTCCAGCCCTACGTGGCCATGTAAAGGTCAAAGATCTGAATTGGAAGAGTGAAACGGATGAGAACTGTATAAGTAAATTAGGTCATGGCACTATCTGATTGGAAAAATGCTATATTGTTGCTGTGGTCATCTAATGTGTTGGTTAGACACTGTGAATAGTTTTTTCTAGCAGGACAGAATGCAACGAAGTGTAGTGAACAAGCAAGTACACTTAAGTACGTAATATTTAAGGGCAGATTTCCTCTTTATCTGGCAGCGTGGAAATTGGTCATTTAGACTTTTACTGATCATAGATGATACCTCAGCTACTGTTACTGCCTAGATCCAGGCCTGGTCTATATATTACTGGAGTTTTCTAAGTTAGTTTAAAAAAAATCGAACTGGTCATTTTCTAAGGCCGAGTTTGCTAAAAGTGGCATGACTTTTGCAGAAATTGTGTGCAGTGTTTTACTGCAGTGCTCTGGTGAGGCCCCACCTGCAGTACTGTGTACAGCTCTGGGGTCCCCAGCACAGGAAGGACACTGGCCTGTTGGAGTGAGTCCAGAGGAGGAGCACCAAGGTGATTGGAGGGATGGAGCACCTCTACTATGAGAAAAGGCTGAGAGAATAGGGATTATTAAACTTGGAGAAGAGAGGGCTCCAGGGTGACCTTATTACAGCATTTCAGTACCTGAAGGAGACCTACAAGAAAACTGGAGGGGAGCTGTTCACAAGGGCAGGTAGTGACAGGACAAGGGGGAAAGACTTCAAACAAGACTTAGGTTTGGATGTTAAGAAGAAATTTTTCACTATGAGAGTGGTGAGGTGCTGGAAACTTGTTGCACAGAGAAATTGTGGATGTGTGAGAGGTGTCCCTGCCCATGGCAGGAGAGTTGGAAATAGATGATCTTTAAGGTCCCTTCCAACCCAAACCACTCTATGATTCTATGCTTATTGAAGCAAAATTGCTGTTTGTACTTTGTTGGCTTCTGGGTCTCATTTGTCACATTGACAGGTGACTGGAGTTGCTCTGGTTTTCCTCTTAATGTAGCTTCTGGTTTTGAAGCATTGCAGGGAAGAAACCCTAAACCTGGCATAGCATCACAGAAATATTAAGCTTAAGGAAAACTTTGGCAGTAAATGTGCATGCTCTGATGATGTTATGCAGAAGGAAAATGTCACTGTTCCACCTCTGTTATTACAGTGCTGTAGTGTGTCAAGTTTGTTGTTCAGTAACACTGGTACAACGACCTGGGTGGGAAGGACTTTGAGATGTGAGGCTGGGAGTAGTTATGGCTCTTTTACAGTAACAGATGGTATTTTCAGTGAGGTTGTCTTCCTATTATTGTAGCTGGCCTGACCTCAGTGTAGGTTGAGATGTAATAGGAGCCAAGAATCCTGTGAATTTTTAAACTTTCTTTGGAAGAAGAGAGGTTGGTTTTATTCCTTGTAAATGAACATAGTACATGTAGCAAGTATAGGGGGATATTTAGTAAATTAACCCTAGTTAAGTTTTAACCCTAATGAGTTTTGAACTCAAGTTCATATTTAACAAGCCAATTAATGGTATTTTTTGGGGAGAGCAAGAGTTGAGGTGCATAAACAGAAAATGCCGGCTGCAGTCATTTCAGCAGTAAGATGCTAATGAAATGGTAGCAATTAGTTCAGACCATGATTAGTTGGTTAACAAAACCTGAAAAGCTTAATGTTTCTTGGTGATAAATGACAGTTGCAGCTGAACTGTGTAGGTGATTATCAAGGTGAGGAAGTTATAGATTGGGCCTGGGCTGTGTGAACATGATGGAATTTCCAAAGAATGATTTCAAACAAAGGAGTCAGACAGAAAATGCAGATGGTGGTGTGCAGCATGGAAAGCAGAAACACTGGAGTGTTCACTTAGTGAATAGGTGGGTAACCACTTTTAGTGATCAGAGTCAAGCACAAACAAAATGCTGTGGATGATGAAATAATAGAGAAAATGCATGTTAGTCATGGTAGAAATACAACACTGGTAATGGAGTTATTTGTATTCATGGATATTGTTGAAAGAAATGTCTCCTGACAGAGCTGTTTAGACATGGGATGTATATATAAGAGATTCTCTACTTTTCCTTTTGCTTATTTGGTGGAATTATTAGGACCTGGAAGGGAGGGGTGAGCATGAGACCAAAAAAGGAACTCTGAAAGTTTTGAGGAAGGGAGTAAAGACAAAGTGCTGGAGAAAACAGGCAACAGTAACAACTAAGAGATGTGTTCTCTATGGGAATTTTTACACTTGCTTGCTGTGATACTACATATGATTGGTGCTATGTTATGGTGTGGGAAAGATGAACCCAGTGCAAAGTGAGAGGGAGGAGATGACTATCAGTAGCATATAGAGGGAGTAGGTGGTTGTTAAGTAATATTCTAAATAGTTTTGTTGAAAGCTTGTCTTCTCAAGTTTCATTTAATAAAAAAGGAAAGATGGAGTTCTTCCATATGGAGATTGTAGGAACATTGCTTTAGCTCTCCTACTACACACCTGCAGTACCTCCTTTGTAACTGGAATTGGTGCTTTAAACTTGATAGGCTAGTCTGTCTTGTGGAGAGTGTTTTAAACTACTTTCACAGTGCATCCATGCACAGAACAAACATAATGTAATTTAACTGCTGTGTGGGAAACAATAGTGGCGTGCATTAGGTCAAGTTAGTCACAGAGAGCACAGCTCTCTCAAAGCCTGTACTGTTGTGGCACTGCTACTGTTACAAGCACTGCTAACCAGTGAGCCATTCCTCAGTCTTAGACCATTTTCTTACAAAGGCAAAGCACTGTTTTATTAAATTCTTTGAAGATAACTTATGATGATGTGCTTTTCAGTTATTTACAGGTCTAAGAGCTCCTGCCCGTGGTTTATTGCTGTTCGGCCCACCAGGAAACGGGAAGACAATGTTGGTGAGAAAATTACTTCACGCATGAGTTAGTGGGCTTAAAATGTAACCAGGAAGGGTAGCTTTTAGTTTGGCTTGTGTGGTAATAAACTGTATGTTCTTCTTGAATATGTTATTATGGTGTCATTTTATATACAGAAATGTGAAATTGTTCCTAACTCTGGATTTTATGGAGAAATACATTTCGAAAATGGGGAGGGAGCACAGTAGCAAGAAAGAGGATTGTCTCACACACTGATGTGCGAAGAGTGTAAGGGCTGTTGAACTGTTGGGCTGCAGCTTGTTTTCTCAGCCTGATGTACTAGATTTGGGGAACTGGAGTGAAATGGCTGTGCATCAGCCAGGGAGCATTGAGTGTCCTGATGCAGCTGAGCTGGGCACAGCGTCCTGCATCACATGGCATGGCTGCAGCTGCACACTCTCTTTGCTGGCACTAGAGCTGGATCAGCTCTGAAGTGCAGGAGTGTGAATGTTGAGGAGCCCACTTAGGCTCAACTGTTGTGTTTTGCATACTAGAACATAATTGCTGATCACTAAAATTAAACTGTATAACCAGGCAATCATAATTTCTTGAATATGCTGAAATTGTTGAAGAAGATAATCTTGAATGAGCATTCTGACTGAACTGATTGTATTTACTAGCTTTCAGGAAAGCTGCTTGTTTTATAGCTAGGGTAAGGAGAAAAAAAACCCATAATTTTTAATGTGATTTGATCCAACTGCTGCCTTAAATTACCACACAAAATTAGTTAAAGTTGATTCAGATGTCTACTCAGGATAGATTGAAAGGAGTTGGGGTCTTGTATTCTTCAGTAAGCAAGTTGTACTTGGCTATGGAATAAATGTGATTAGAGAAGTCTAAGGGAGTCTGGAAATTTCTTTAGTAGTTTGCCTGCTTATCCGTTCTTATTTGTAAGTGGCCTGTACAGAAGTTTTCTGAAGCATTTACAAGGTGTTCTCTTTGAAGAAATAGGGTTTTTCAAAACCATAAATCAGGACATGAATGCTTGCTATGGAAGGAGAGAACTATCTTCAGTGTGATGTTTCAAAAAGTACATTTTTTTCCCCCCATTCTCCTAGGCCAAAGCAGTTGCTGCAGAGTCAAATGCTACTTTCTTTAATATAAGTGCAGCGAGCCTAACTTCAAAATACGTAAGTAGCAGCTGGAAATTATGTTGATCTGAAAACACACATCCTGTAGTTTGGTCTTGAGAAAGCTAGAGATGTCTGGGTCCTTGGTGACCTGTTAGCCTGTAGTGAGCATAGTTTTTAAAAAGTGACTTGTGAAGTAAAAAAATTCAGTTTGTACTTGTGATAAATAATGTGAAAGGTTTTTGCACTTCAGGATGACCCTGACTTCCTGTAGGTGAGTGGTTGTGGAGTTTTTCTTTTTTAAAAAGTAAATTAAGTGGGTCCCAGCTCCCTTTAACTCTCTTTAATTTAGGCACCAAAATCTCTTGACAGTTAACTGAATTGTGATCATAAGTGAAATTGTAATGTTTCTTTTAAGACATATGTAGCACTGAACTAGTGATAATCTGAGTGTGTATAAATGGACTGAGTACAACTGGCTATCAGCAAGGTTTTCTGTAGGCCACTTACATTGCTGTCTTGTGGTAAAAACTTTCTAAACTCCCTCCAAAACCAATTTATTGTTGTTTTAGGTTGGCGAAGGGGAGAAGCTGGTGCGTGCTCTATTTGCTGTAGCCAGAGAACTTCAGCCTTCTATAATTTTTATTGGTAAGACCTTAAATGTTGACTCTTGTTTATTTTCTTAAATAATCTTACTTATTAAATTGGAATAATTGGATAAACTTCTTTTGGGTAATTCTGCGCTGCAGGACAAGTGTCTCAGATGTGACCTTGTGGCTTATCAGTTGTTCCATAATAGAGCATGTTAAATTACTGTTTTGTTATTTAATTGGTGTTAATAGTGTGAAGAAATGCCCTCAGAACCACAAATACTGTGCTGACTCTACAGAGTAAGTCCATTTGTTTATTAAACTTCAAACATGAATATTGGTTTTGCTTGTCCTCCGCTGCAGTTTTATCAGCAAGAATTTTTTTCCTCTCCTCTGTGCTTGGTATTACATGTTCAAAGGGCAACACATTACACAAGCTTTTAAACTTTACTGAGATCTATCTGTCTCCTAAGAAATAAAGATGTGATCTCTCTTATGGAGCCCTGTGTTAGCAAAAGAACTTAGGCAAATATGAAGACTTTGATGTTGTATCCTTAATTAAGATGTAGTTCTTTGTTTTTTAGATGAAGTTGATAGCCTTCTATGTGAAAGACGAGAAGGTGAACACGATGCTAGCAGGCGTTTAAAAACAGAATTTTTAATAGCATTTGATGGTGTAAGTATTTAGTCTTGGGTATTGTTTGATTTAGCTGAATTGGCTAATGTAGTGGGTGCCAGTACAAGCTGTAGATAAAGTACAAAAGATTTGGCTGCTGGGGGCTTAACTCTGTCTCCCTTCTTTTTTCTGTTGCTGTTAATTTTTTACCTGCTTACTGTGTTATTCTGGAAAACTCAATCTGAAGTTTAAGGTAGTAATCTGGAGATGAGCTGAAGTAACGGGTTGAAGAATGATGCACACAGAAGAAAGGATAAGAATTGGCAATAATAAAGGAGCTGTGAGGACAAACGTTCTTACAGAGCAGGAGGGACATTTGAGGGTTAGGGAGAGTTCAGGGTTTTTCTTGGCATTGTGAGCTAGAGAAGACAGGATACAGTATGAATATATTTAATAGCAGGTATGCATTATCCAAAAAGAAGAACTAGGCTTCAGAGTGGGACACACACACAAATGAGTATCAGAATATTTTTCTGTCACCCAGCACTGTTTTCTTGTATTGAAGAAATTTAGTTTATGTTCCATTAGCACAGTGGAATATTGCTTCAGTGACGAAGCAATAGTAATGAGGTACAGGAGGAGAAGATGATAACTATATGGAGAGACAACAAAATTGGGAAAAACTCCAAAATGGATGGATCAGGACAAGTAATGCAACATGATGGTGATATGCAGAAATTGTTACACACATACAGTTTTCTCTTAGAACTAAAAGGGCAAATTAAACGTAAATATTAAGTTAGCAAACTTTGCATTAAGGGTAACTATATCATACAACATTTTTGTGGAAGCTTTTGAACTTTGTAAGGTAGCAGTGAACTTTAGTCTATGAAGGATTGGACACCAGGTGAATAACAACATGTCTCTGACACCCCAAAGTTTTCTCCAAGGTTTGGAAGCTATAAGTCTCCCTATTATTTGGTATAAAATTAAGTCTTACAATTGAGTGAATTGGGAGGGAAGTTTGCTGTATCTTCCTACTGTTGAACAGCTTCTCATTTTGATTCCCAGATTCTTGGGCGACCTGTTTTAGATGAATCTCTGATCAGGTGTAGTGGTTCTAGCTATAGTTTAAAGTTTTGATTCTCCCTCTGTAGGCTTCAAAACAATCTTTGGTATTAAAACTACAACAGTAGGAAGTCTAGGTTTTAAAACGTAATTATCTCTGGATGACTTAACTTCTGAGTGCCTTTTATAGTCTCAAGTTTCTCCAGCAAGACTTGTCAAGCAATATAACTTGGGCATAGTATCAGTGTCCTCTGTTTACATTATCTTTTTTCTTTTTTTTCTCCTTTTTTTTTCTCCTTTCTTTTTTTTTCTCTCCTTTCTTTTTTTTTCTCTCCTTTCTTTTTTTTCTCTCCTTTCTTTTTTTTCTCTCCTTTCTTTTTTTTTCTCTCCTTTTTTTTCTCTCCTTTCTTTTTTTTCCTCTCCTTTCTTTTTTTTCCTCTCCTTTCTTTTTTTTCCTCTCCTTTCTTTTTTTTCCTCTCCTTTCTTTTTTTTCCTCTCCTTTCTTTTTTTTC